AGCATTTTAAAGAATTAAATAAACTGAATAGAAGGAAACAATTATGTTTGGTATGCTAAAATTGTGATTATTTTTTATATCCTATGGAACAATATAAAAATAACTGAATTATTTTACCAGTTAGCTATAATAATAGGATTACTCTTCTCCTTTCCTTTTTCAGTAGTTATTCTCTATTATCTCTATTTTTAAGTAAAGAACAACATGGCAGTTCTGCCAGCTTTTAGGGAGACTCTAAGATCTGTGATGTGGTTTGGTTTGGTGTTGTTAGACATGATCTTTGACTTTGCAAACCTGAATTTCTTTCACTGAACAGCTTTGGACTGAGACAAATACAAGCACCCTGCTGATTTGCATTTCAACATAGCACTTCTCTTCCTTCCCACCTCATTCCCATGCAGTTCACATTTAAAATCTAAACCTTCTTCCTGGTCCAAGTCCTTTCAGCAACTTCAGGGTAAAGGAGAGATTCAATTTCTAAAATTTCCACAGCATTCTTCTTTTTCTTTTCTTTCTTTCTTTACACATGTCCTTCCTTTCTTTTGTTCTCACTTCATGTTTCTTTTACCCGACAATTTCATGAACTACCATGTAGAAGTTCAGAAAACTCAACCATTCTGAATGAAGAAGTCACAGTCATGTTATGCATCTGACTTTATGACAGAGCATTCTCCATTTTCTAGTGGAGGTTGCTGTTTTCACTGTTAATCTCATTTACAGCAAGCTAGTACATGCATTATATAAATACTGGCAGCAGAAAACTTCCTTCACAAGGTGAAAGTGTAACCCACATGGCAAGTCTCTGAGCATGAGTATTCACTGGATGGCAGGTTTTAAACTGAAAAAGACTAATAGATTTGCCCTGTGTGCCAAAATCTACTAGTTAATGTCATTTTCGTTAAAACCAAAAGGAATTCAATCAAGGCCTCGCCAAGTCTTGGGCTAGAGATGGGGCTGTATGTGGCCTCATCATACCTCAGAGAGATACTAAAGCCTACTTGAATAAATAGCCTGTCCCTGAGGTGTGCCGATTGGCATGATGCAGAAGAAAAGACATCAAAGATCACTAGAGGACTAAGGATCAGCTTTGTCTGAGAGAAAAAAAATGAAGGAAGACAGCAAAAGTGTTCACAGGATACTTCATTTCCTACAGTAGATTGAACAGTGTGAAATTCAGCTAGTCCAAGAATGCACAGTATACCAAAAACATCTGAAAAGCATGCTGCTGGTGTCTGATTGAATTTTACCAGTGATCAGTTTGAGGGCAAGACAGAGAACTAGCATTTCTAATTTTCTAACTCTCTTTGAAACAAGGTGACAATGACTTCAGACAAATTTAATAATATTATTATACTGTGGTTTTTTAAATCATTGCAAAGTCTGAGATACTGAAACTAAAATAGCTTTAGTCCACTACGACATACGTCACCTTGGCACACCTTTTTAGAGCAAAATGTTTATGAGAGAGGGTAGACTGTATTTCCCATTGATACTGCACTTGGCCTTTTGATCTGTTGGTCTAAGTATAATACGAGTATTTCTGCTAGCAGTACAGTAATTGTTATTCTGACATCAATGACAAGCATATAAGGCAAAATGCAAAGTCAATGATATCAACATCTTTTCACTGCAGACTTGCTTAATTTCTTTCCTCATAGGCTAAGATACTTCTGCTAGGGAACCGGGTGGCAAATAAAGTGGGTTTTTTGCATTATTTCCAATAAGGTTTGAGTACGTGATTTTTGTGCTAACGCTAATAAAATGTCATGACTATCTTCATCGTATAGTATGTTATTTTAATATAACAAAAATATCAGTAGAAGAAACCAATTCAAGCACTCAAGAAAGTCTTAATTTTTTGTAGTAATCTTACTCCTACATTATTTAAAAGCTACAAAATAGCAACTGCCTGTGTTAAAATAAATTCTCCTTAAAAGAAATAGACTATTAGGATTTTAACAAAATTTTATTTTTCACCATATGGACTATACAAAGTATCTTAGCCATCAAAAAAAAAAATAGAAGGAAAAACATCTAACTGTTACCTGTTTGCCTGCTTGAGGCCTATGAAATGTCTTATCCAATTTTAACCATTTATTTTTTGTTTTAGAAAATAAATCCCCATCCAAGCTGACAATATGAAAGCCAGGCTTCAGCTGAAAACATATTAAAACAGTCTAGTTATCCAAATCCCTTAAAATATCAAGAGATTCACACCAGCAATACCCTGTTCGCCATTATGCACAGCAGTACTAGAGAATGCTGCTATGCTCTACACAGCTTTTGGCTTCAGCCTGAAAAACACTGATGATAGGATTACCACTGTAGCACAGGGGTGCAGGGTCAAAACTCAGTAAGATGAACTTTTGCCAGAACAGAAACATTTATCTTGCCACAAAAGAACTCCTCTGATAAATCTGTTCATATATTGACAATCCTACTTTTGGTAACTCCAGACAGAAGAAATTGAACTTGAAGGAAACCTTTCCTTTCAAGATGTGTGCAGCTCACTTTAGGTAAGTGAGGAAAAACATGAGAAAGACAATGGAAGCAGGAAAAAAGAAAACAGGCCAGCAGTTGCTAAGTGCAATAATACTGGGGTGGCTGTATTCCCTTTCCTCCTCACTCCAAGAATTCCAACATTTTAAATGGCAGTTATTAACAAGAATTAACTCTGCAGATTAGTCAAGTACAGCATTAAAAGACTGCAGTTCTAAGCTATTTTTGATCTATTCAGTTAATTATGATTCTAGGTTATCAGAACTGAAAAGCACAGTACTTCCTGTTGGAAACACCTATTCTTTGATAATTACATTCAGTAAAGCACTACATCATGTGTCAAGGAGCTGAGTTGAAATTCATTAATAAAAATCAGAAGGAAACCCTTTAATTAAAGCAGCAGGAAATACTATTTGCATTCAAGGAATAACTTCTGAAAGTACTGTGCTAACAGTTTAAAAAAAATAACTTCTGAACAGCAACCTGATTCAGTCATTTTGAAATCCAGGTGCTACAGTGCAATGAATTGATCAGTCTCCTGAATGCTGCCCTCAAAATCCTGGAAAACAGCTAAGATCAAGAATTGAAGCAGATGCATCATAGTCTCCAGGAAGTAATTTATAAGCCTGTGCTTTGAGTATGTATATGCAACATACATCTGACTTGTCTCGCTCTGCCATAAAATGTAAATACTCCAGATGAATGTACACAAAGTGTACTAAACAAAAATAAATCAGAGCATTCTTTGCTTGGTGCAGTAGTAAAACAAACACTTTCTAATAATATATAGCTGTATTAAGTTTTCTATTTGGAATATTACGCACTCAGGTACAGGAGCAGGTGGTATATCACATTCACCTTTCAACTCTCTGGATTTGTAAAACAGGGACATTTCTATTATACACACTGTGGTAATCTCAGATTACTGTCATGTATTCTGATTTTGAATTCAGTCACCTCACAGGGAAGAATTTAACAGGAAAATCTGATCACACTCTTCTAAGATGTACTGGTTAAAAAGAAAATGCAGGATGCCCATATGCCAGAATGTAAGTGCTAGACTCCTAATTTCTACTACTCCACAGGAGGACACCCTGGAAAACAGCTAGACAAGTCTTCCCTGTCTGTGGATCAGCAAAAACTCAGATGCCGATTCTACACAAAGCCTGAAGCATGCTTGAACTATAGAAATTTTGCAACGTTTAGCGATCCTTCCAAGAAATGCGAGTCTGGTTATACTGTGACTGAAGATATCTTTCTGGGAATTAAGAGGAGCGAAAATAAGCTGTGTCCCTAGAGAATCTAGTATATAATAAATCTTCAACCAGCTACCAGATTGGTGTTGTTAGGGTATTTCTAGGCAGGCTGTATATATTACTATGCAGTGACACAGGACTGCATGGTACCTGCATTCCTGCTTTCCTTTCCATGTATGTGAATGTTTTAAACTTCTCTGGCAGTCTGTGAATTTGTTGAGTGTTCACACTTGCCATATGTCAGCATGCTCAGGCACAAATACACACAGACGTGAACTAAATAGAGATCAAGTGCATCTTGAGAGGGAAGTACTAAGCTTCCATCCCAGGACTCATCAAAATAAAAATTTACAGAATATAATCCACTGAATGTCTGGCAGAATGGGGAATGAAGACTGTGTTTGCTTACGTACCAACAGCCTAGACCATGAGAAGAAATCTCCAAAACTAATTTTTCTGCAAACATAGTAATATTTCTCTTTTTTCCCTTTACACACCCCCCTCCCCCTTTTTTTTTTCACTAAACCATTTTAGGTATCCTCCTTATTTCCCTTCTAGTTGTGTATACAGCTCTCTTTCTCTCTCATGCATAGTTTAATCAGGACTGTCAAGAAAAAAACCCACCAAACACACAAAATAGTAAAGCATAAATAAAATGGAAGGTCTGTAAGTGTATTTCGATGCCTTTATAGAAAATCTGGGCATTCTAATCCGTCATTTCTTTCTTTAGCTACTTAAACATGGGAAGAGAGGTTCAACTCACAGATCATATATGCACACTTTTGTTGAGCCATACGGGATACAGTCATTTCATTCTGACATCCAAGCTCTGAAAGTTTGACATTGGTATGTTTGAATTTCTATTAGGCTCAGTGACTTATTGGCTGATGCTTCTTTGCAATATAGACTCTGCTGTGCAACCATACTATAAACTTTTTGCCTTTCTGCTAAGCCCTGCTAGAACTACATTATTTCCTGGAGGCTAGAACATTCTTTTGAGCTGTACACAAGCTGATGAACTCCAGTGGCACTTGAAGCTATTGCCAGAACAGCAGACCCTTACTTTTCCATCCTAGAAATTGCTGTAAAAAAAATATGTGCATGCACAAACCCACAGTGCAGGCACATGCATGTACAAACAAATAGGTATCACTACTGTCTATATCACTCCAGCTCTTAGTATTTAAAGACACTGTGAAAGACAGGCAGAATAGAGAAGACAAGCCCAGAATGGACATTTCTTACCATGTGCCACCCAGCCATGTTTACACTGATCACAGGTTCTCAGGTTAATCTTCCCTGGCTGAAAACATTCACATGTGCAATTTACCAGTGTACAGCGGATGGCCTGAAAAAAGAAACAGAAAACAGATATTAATGTCTGTCTTCCTTCTTGTACAAATCTGTTGTGAGGGCTAGAAGGGTATTAACTGTACAGCAAAAAACAGCCTTCTAACATTCAAAGCATTGCTCATTATTTTAAATAGAGATTAATTTTCTTTAAAGACATACCTCAGTATCCCTGAGCAATGACAACCAAAATGCTTATTCAGTAATAACATAGTGTGTTGTCCCATGGAGATGAATACATTCCTAAAGTCTTTAAAAGAATTGCTCTATTTCCTTTAGGAAAAAAAAGTAGTAGGATGAGGATTCTGTAGGTGTTCCACAAATTTCCTGGGTTTGCATCAACTGCCTGAAGGAAAATGTTACCAGTGATGTCTTAGTATAGCAGCGTATCAGCTTGATTAAAACCAAGAGTAAAACGAGGAAAGAAAAACATACAAAAAGGAAAACTACAGATCTCTTTCCCCTTCTCCTATGGTATCCAAAGATTATTCTCAAGTTTCCTTTTTGGGGTTCACATAAGGTATAACTCCACTACAGAAAGGAGTCACAGATTTGATATGTTCCCAAAATAGGATAAAATTATCAACATACAAGAATAGGACTGGTTCATAAAACATCCTGTAACTTTCCTTTCCATCTATCGCTTTCTCCAATATCTAGGCATAACACTTTACCTCTCAGCACTCCCTATTTGTCAAACATATATTTCTCTGTTTTGAAAAAGATTAAATTATTTCAAAGCAGCAATACTGAAACTCCAGTCCCATGCAGAGATCTAAAATTTGCTTAACAATATACCTTATTTATATCTCATCTCCCTTTTAAAAATTATTTGAAAAATGACAGAGGTTTACTTTGACAGGGGCTAGCTACGTCTACAGGAAAGTGAATATAAATTGAATGATACTCTTTTAATGTGTAACAGACACATGTTTTTAAATAGTGTAGAAGATGACCTGTGCACTTCAAAATGCTACTAATAAATTTATGGCATGCATTTAGATGTAATTTGCATGGAGATTTCTGAGACAGAGAGGCTTATTCTGATCATGCACAGATTAACAATCTACTGTAACTACCAGAGCTGCCAGGAAAAGATATCTCTATAGATTTAGATACAGACAATGATTACTTGAGGGCTAAGGTGGGGGAAGGGTGGTTGGTACCTATGGCCACTGAGATACTGAAGCATTATGAATGCTCTTGCCTGTTCCAAACAATTAACACCCAC